CTAGCAACTCGGGAGTCTGAGGCAGAAGGATCATAAGCTGGAGGCCAGTCTCAGTAATTCAGCAAGGCCCTAAGCAACTTAGTGAAAACTTGTCTCAAAATGAAATATAAAAATGGGCTGGGGATGTGACTCAGTGGTAAAGCACCCCTGGGTTCAATCCTCAGTATCCAAAAACAAAACAAACAAACAAACAAACAAAAAGAGACAGTCTCTTTACTAAGAGATAGTTGCATTGCATCTGATTTCTGGTTAATGTCTTCTTTATTTACAATGCTGAATGTTAAACCTAAGGCTTCTTGCATGTTTGGCAAGCAATCAACCATAGAGATACATCCTTAGCCAAATTTTGACAAATACATACAGTTCTCCATAAGACAGAAGCAATTTTCACCTATAATTTTTAAACAGGACACACTGTGACGTTAGGAGAAGAGAAATTATGTAACGCTGAAAAAAATACTTGTACTGAATTTTTGAGTGTCAAAAGTTTAGACTGAAGGCTGTCTGTACAGAAGGTCACTGAATAAGAACTGTTTGACTTATGATGTTTCAAGTTTTAAAATAATGTTGTGAAGTAATGTTCATTTGTTAGAAACTTAATTTTTATTTTTTCTCAGGCTGGCAATACTCCATGCAATACTGTTTCAAGATGCTGGGTGGCAGCAGCAAGCCATAGTTAAATACCCAGCCGTGAGATCATGAATACAAACAACCCATACTGTGCATTATGCTGTGTTGCTAAGCTATAATAGTTCATAAATTAGGTATATTAAATGATATTTGACTCACAATATTTTTTACTTAAAATAGATTTATAAGGGCCCAACTGTCATAAGTTGAGGAGATTCTACACTCCATTTCTTTCATAAAGAGCATGCACTATTACAATTTTCCTATTTCACAAATGATTTGTAATCTTGTGTTTCATTCCTGCTATTGACTAACATGCATACTTATGAAGATTGTTTTTCCATTTTAAAAAGTTAGAGGGTTGGGTGCAGTGGCACACGCCTATAATCCCAGTGGTTCATGCCTGAAATCCCAGGTTCAAGTGGCTGAGGCAGGAGGATCAAGAGTTCAAAGCCAACCTCAGCTACATAGTGAAGCCCTAAGCAATTCAGGAGACCCTGTCTCTAAATAAAATATATATTTTTAAAAAGGTCTGGGATGTGGCTCAGTGGTTAAGTGCCACTGG